TAGTTAAAGTTGGAAGGTGGTCCCCTCTGGGCACATGTCTGAGCTATTTAGAAGGTTCAGCAGAAGAAGTGTGATGCCCACATGGACATAACATGATATAGTTCTTCTACCTTTTACATGGGGCTCTTACTCCAGCCAGATAACCCTTCTTGGCTTCCTGGGCCAATTACATTCAGTATGCAAATATATGAGTAAACACTATTTCCAAAAAAGATTAGTAAGGTGACTGTCCTGTGTGTAAGTAGCTTGATACTTTAGCATTCTGCATGCAGGGAGGGGGCATATTGATGTTAGCATCAAATGCACCTAACATAACATCACTATGTTTCGGGGGGTGTTTAATGCTTCTAAGCTTCTTTAGGACATATCAGTTAATTCAGAAGTGCCTATGCTCTATTCCAATAGTTTGCATGTACAATCCTATTTATTCATGTGTCTTTATGATCATGAAGGTTTTGGTAATGTTAGGGAAAAAAGCAAAGCAAATTTGGGGAGGATATAAGGCAGAAATGCTTTTTAAGAAGTTCTCCTTTTCAATATTGAAGCCATTCTAGAAGAATTCAATCTACAAGGTCAGAACTAGGTCACATATCCTGACTTCCTTGCCCCCACAGCTTAATAATCTAAAAATAAAATCAATTCTTGTCTGAGAGTTGTGAAGAGCTCATAATTGCTTTAGAGTAAAGCTCAGAATGACTGTGCCTTCTCCCACTTTCCATTTCTCAGAGATGAGAATATCATTTTTCAAGTCCAAGGCACTGTCAGTATTAGAATGCATAGTAACCAAGTAGAAAAAATATCTGTTTAAGTTGAAATAATTTTCATCATTATACTGTTCAGGTAGAAATAAGGCTCTTCTTTAATGCTGCCTCTAAAGATGACAAAGAAGTAATACAAACCAATTTTTAGCCTTTAAAACACCACAGCACTGGTTTATAGTTGTTACTGTTATCACACTCATATTCTGAATCAAGAACTTGCTGTGCTTTTTATACAAAACCAATTGATCCTTCCTTCCCAGGTACTGGATTTTCTCTTTAATCTCAAGATGCAACTGTGTTGGGAGCTTCATTATAACATGCATATTAACTATGAGCTGTCTGGGTGAAAGTTTGAGTTCATTTGCTCTATTAGATTTTGTCACTAAATAGAATCTTGGGATTCTAGAATGCAAACAAATTTGCCATCATGACTACATATTTTTGTATATATAGTTATTTATGATAGGGACAGCTTTCCATTTTATTAACATCTTCTTGTAGAAGTATTTAGCCTTCCAACCATCCATAGTTGTTAAAAACCAATTCCCAGAGTTTTCGTGAAATTTTAAAGTACCTATCAAGAGCCTTTTTAACTGTAAAGATCAGCTGTAAGATGGAAAAGAAAGAGTTCATTAAAGTATCATTGCAGGAGAAGGAATTCTTTGCCACGTTTTCTTAATTCCACCCAACAGGAATGGAAGTGCCCTCTCTCTCCTGGTCATATCTAGTTATGGCTCCCTGGTAAAATCCAAAGCTGGCACAGAAAGTGTTGGCTGAGACCCGGGCACACTACCCCAGCCCTCCAGCGGGTCGCAGGTCCACGCAGGCTATGTGGTGCAGCTCCTGGTCTTGGCAGCCCTGACCCCTCTTTGCTCTCCATCCACCGCCATTGTTGCTAAATGGGCTCCCTGTGCCTAGGAGAAGTGGAGTACTCATCCCAAGTCTCCCAAACCCTATTTTTAATGAACATTTAGACATTTACACAACCTGACTGTTTTTAGGCCAAGTTAACTTTCTTTTAAGCCCCAAGTCGGTTCTGTGAGGCCAGCTAATTAGCCTGCCTGTACCAGAAGTACTCACTTTTTATTACCTTTAAAAAACAAAGCCAGGTTTGAGGAAGTGTTGGATGTAAGCTGTCTCCAAAGCCTCAGGAAGGGAACCTCCACCTCCCAAAGCCCCTCCTCCCTAGTAAGATTTGTGGTCTGGTTAGAAGGACCATTTAGATGATGAAAGGAACCAGTGGACAGTCCCTGATTTATAACCAGTGTGATTTTTTTTAATATCCACCAAATTAATATTTTTATGTCTGTTCCCCCATCAAGTTGCTTGGGTTTGAATTTCAACGAGGGGAGCCTGCCAAGATGGTGCAGTAAAATACGAACTGGATCATAAATCCCAGCAGGGGTGGGAGAACCTAAGACAGATTGCTAACACCTTTAAAAAAACATTTAAATTTAAAAAGGCAGGAATTTGCCTTAAGGTACACCAGACCTGGTGGGGACTGGGAGAGACCCGAGGTCTGAATGTTCGAGCGGGTTTGTCTTCCCAGTATCCCTTTTCTGAGGAACTCAACCTGCAGAAACCCATCCTGCAGGTACCCAGGACCTGTGGACTTTAATCAGAAGCCAATGATGTCTCTCCAAGATGTGTGTTGGAGATAAGGCAGAAATACTCTAGAGTGAGCAAGCACCTTCCAAACAGTTGAGGCTCTCTGCCTCCCGCTGGCTGGGCTGACCACTCACGCAGCTCATCAAAGTCCCCTTTCATTCGTGTCAGGCTGAAGGAAATAAATGCAGCTGGCAAAGAGTCTGAAGCTATAAGAAGAAAGCCATGTGTTTCCTTCCTAAGAGGAAAATCATTTCCCCACAAGGAATAAAGAGCTTTTACAAACCTTCTGCACGGCTACTTCTCAGAGGGGGCAAGCTGATTATTCTCGTACCCTCCCCATGCACCAACAGGAGAAACAGAAGCCCTTATTTGCTTGGTTTTATAAGAGGGTGACTATATGAGAGTGTGCACGGCCAAGTAAACGCCCTTATAACATGGCTTATTATTACACCGATTTGGATAAACCACAAGTCAAATCATGTCGGCTGAAACATGACTGCTACCCATAGGAGAAGTCTGATAGAACTCAGTCGATAGCCTATAAAACAGATGCTAGTCCTGTCTGTCAACACCAGCATTATAAAGGTGTTTCACTAATCCTCCTCGTGGACAGCACTCAATCCTGGAGCAACTTTGTCTTTTCACTCCCTGCCTGGCTCTTAGGATACACAGTGTGCTCATGGGAGCCAGGTGACCTGCTCTAGCAGCTCTCATGAGTGGCACTCCCAGCGTCACAATGTCACCAGGCACTGTTTCTCTGAAACACATATTCAGACCAAATTACTCGATCTTAACAACACTTTGCCAAAACACTCTTTGGACTTTCGTTTTACTCACTCTAGGCTCAGAGTCAAAGCCTCAGCCAAGCCTTCCAGAAGAACATGAAGCTCTCAGCTAAGCAGCTGCTTAAGAGACTTGCACAGAATTGAATGAACCAGGTGGTATTTTTCAGTTCAAAGACACAAAAGTTTTCAATTTGCCAGTTATGGTCATGTAATTATAACTATAGAAGGGAGAATTGTCAAGGTAAGGAGAGTTATAGATATAATATATACATATTTTTAAAGATAATGTTTAGATATCATTTTAATAGCCTAAAACTTCAGCAAATTTAACTCTTTCATTCAAATCCCCATAAATAAGACACAAACCTCACAATCTCAAAATAGGGGGAAAATATCATCATTTGATAGAAAGGGCAATGCCTGAAATTTGAATAAGGTCTGTACATTAAATAATACTGTAGAAATATTAATTTCTTGGATTTGGTAACTGCACTGTGGTTATGTAATTTAATGTTGAGTTTTTAGGGATAAAGGGGCAGCATTTCTAGAATTTATTCCTAAATCATCACAAAAGAACAGATACACATATATACACATACACACAGTCACACACACAGAATGATAAAACAAATGTGGCAAAGTACTAACAATTAGGGTACTTGGTGAAGGATATATAGGAATTCATGGTACTATTTTTTAAAAATTTTATGTGGATCTAAATTTATTTCAAAAGTTTTTTTAAAGGCTTCCTACTTTGGCCCATAGAAATACTCTTGCTTTTGTAGAATAAATAAAAAGAACTTGTTGTACATCCTGTTCACGATATCACTGAGAACCACAAATCTGGAAGACAAACAGGAATAGGAGACAAGACTGGCAAAACCCAAGGTGCTGCTGTTTAAATAAATGTCTAGAGAAGAGGATTCTGGAAGAAGAAGACCCCAGTTCTCAGGCCTACAACATTCCAAACCTTGGGATACTTTTACCTCTGTGGACTCATCTTTGACATGAGATACATTAAGATGGGGCCCAGCAAAGATGATGTAGCAGGTTCAATGTCTCCTGTCAGTTCTGCCACCTTCCTCAGCCTCGAATTTCCTGGGTGGAGCAATGGGTTGGCACTGAATGACATGAGGCAGGAGCCGAGGTCACCCCCATGTTTTGGGGATGCTTGTGGAAGCTCTTTGAGAAAGCCTGTTGTTGGGCTCTGGAGGGACCACATTCACCCCTTTAAGACAGCCCTTCCCCTGAAGATCATCTTTGGTAATGAAAACATCCCAACCATATGTCTGCCTGCTGCTCACACCCCATTTGGGCTGAGAGCCTGCTGACATTCATTAGCTGAAACTTGCGTTTCTGACTTTCATTTCTGATAGTTCCACTCACTCTGAGCTAAACATATGGGCCCCAGCCCTAACCCAAAATAAAGATTCTTCTTTGTCTTTTGACCAGAAACATCATTCTTCTGCCATTGGAAATTGATGCATCTGAGGACAAAGTATTTGTTCTTTGGAACCTTCAAACGAAATGTGGCCTGGGTTCAGCACAAGCATGCACATGCACGCACATGCATGCACACGCATTCTCAGCCCATAAAAATCAGCCCCACCACTGAACAGCTAACACCCACTACTCAGCAAACACCATCTCCTTTCTGGAGCTTTTGGAGATGTGGACATCATCCTGTCACTGAGCATGTGGGTGGCTCAAACTGGCGATAAATCGAGGCGCTAATCCTGATGCACAACAGCACCTGCAGTAACAGAGAAGAATGTCTCAGCAGACGACACATATATAAATCACGTTTATTTTCATAGCACATTTAAATAACGTTTTGGCCCTGGGGATTTTCCACCAAGTAATGAAGCATTGGCCAATGAGAGTATGCAACGTTGCTGCAATATGCAGTGCCCCCTCACAACGGAGGAATAAAACCTGTGATTTATATGGATGTCATCGGGTGGCATGGGGGGCTTCCTTTCCTTCACACAGGACATTGCCATGCATCTGGATTAGAGATGAGATTTATCTGCAAAATAAACAAAGAGCAGCCCCCCCTCCATTTGTCCCTTAATCACACCAGACGAGACCTCAAGCACTCCCACTATGCACCTGCTCAGCAGCACACGCACTCCTCAAAAGCACGCACACAGCATGGACAGGTTTATGATGAGACAGGAGCGAGAACAATCCTGATACAAGAGGATCATGTGTGCCTTGATGAAGACTTGCTTTATCAGCAGGTCCTTGCAGGAGGTACCAGGTATCCTCTTCCTGGACGTCAGCAGCGGTCTCTCTGTGGCGCTCAGTTGGTGTCAGTGTGGATGCCCGCCACACGCAGGGCAGAGAGAAATCGAATCTCTTCCATCCACTGCAAGGTGGTGGTGCAATTCCCATTCATCTGCCACTTCCTATCTTGTTGTTTAAAGGGAAAATATCATCACATCCCTACAGGGTTTTCTTTCGGATAGTCAATGGGTGGCTGCTGAGCTCACCCTGAATGAACTGTAGGATGGATTATAAATCGCTCTATTGAAACCATCAGGAGTTCTGATGTTTTATTTCTTTGCCTTCCTTCTTTCTTCGTTCTCTTCCTCCTCTTTCCTTTTTTCTCCCTCTTCTCTCCTTTCTGTTTCTTTCAATCTCTCTCTCCCTTTCTCTCTCTCTCTCTCTCTCTCTCTCTCTCTCTCTCTCTCTCTCTCTCTCTCTCTCGGGGGGGGGGGTACCAGAGACTGAACCCATACTAAGAAAGCACTCTGCAACTTCAAGGCCAACCTGAACTACATAGTGAGACCCTGCCTCAAAAAGAAAGCACTCTACAACTGAGCTACATCCACAGTCTTTTATTTATTTTTATTTTGAGACAAGGTCTAAGTTGCTCAGATTGGACTTGAACTTGTGAGACTCCTGCCTTAGCCTCCAGAGTAGCTAGGTGATGTATACCTCTGTACCGGGCCCACTGCCTCCTTTCCCTCCTTAGAAATCATCTGTTCTTCAAATCTCACCAAGGTTCCATATACACATTTTAATGAGGGGCCACACTGCCCCCCTGCTAAGTGTAGGTTGCTTCTGACATTAGAGAAATAATGTAAACCACATCCAGCAGGGGCATCCTTGTTACAACAAGACTGATCATACACAGATTTAGACATGCTACAGTTCAGTGTGTGACTGCCCAAATATTTCAGCTTCATCCAGCAAACTCTGACACGAGAACAGTAATTCACATCGTAATGGTGCTATGTCTGCTACTGCACATGATCACAGTTGACTTCACACAAACTTACGTCACAGTGAGGCGATAGGAGGGTATAATCTGCTGCCTCCAGAACTGAAGGGACGTTACCTAATTTTGCCTCAAATTCATGTGTTTCAGGATCACTAGAGAAACCCAAAGCCGAAAGCTCCATGCTTTAACACACAAAGCCATTCCTTGGTTAGCCAAGAGTGGGTAAAGGACAGCTAGTGGCCATCTTAAAGGCAGGGACACTAAGCCAGTTTCACTTGAACCAATCTAGAGTCAAGGTCAGTATCTCCAGATGCCACCCGGATATTTCTAAATGAGGTTACTTCCCAGAAAAACAAATTTACTGAAGTATATTTCATTTTGATCCCAAAGGGTGGATTTTTTTATTTGCTCAGATCTGACTTTTGTGGAAGGGAGTGAGGCTTTAATGCCACTATATAAAGTTTCCTGTCCCTTAAGAGAAAGTAAGTATGTTTTTATATATGGGCCAGGTCAGGAGCTTGGCATAAAAAAAGGCCAGCCCAGATTTCCCCTTATACTTTGCAATTCTCATATCCAAAGAAGTCCCAAGCAATTGCATATGTCTGAATGTTAATATACTCTTTGCTCCTCATTATTTTAATTTCTCAAATTTGTTGTGAGGTTGCACAATAGCCAACCATATCGCAAGAGGAAATTTTTAATTCATGAAGATGATTGTCCCAAATTTACTTTTTAAAAAAGCAATTAGAAAAGCAGCATTGTCCACCAAGACTAACCGATGATGGTGGGACAGGGTCAGCTCGCCCCTAAAAATAGGATGACCACCTGTCATAGTTTGCCTGCGGCCCTGCTGGCTTATACTATCGTCCTGGATTAATTATTAATAGCCTCCCTTTCATTCTCACAATTGTCCTAGTTTGGGTACTGAATTATAAGTCACCTTACCTAGGAGCTGTAGAAAAATCCTGTTGAAATAGGTCTCATTCCTTGAAGGGATTTGAACATAACCTGCAAATGAAGCTGCAGGAGAGGAAAAAGAGATGAAATCGTGCAGTCAGTTCAATTGCTCAGCCATAGAAGAGTTGGCGAGATTGTATCGGTTTTGTTCATGCAATTCTAATTATGAACCAATAACGTGGAATAAAACTAATTTTATTATAACCTCTAGTCTGCAATAAAGCAAATGCACAAAATAATTTGTTGAGTCAGGAGGCCCAGATACAGATTAACTCAAGTGCTTGGAAGTGTGGCAAGAGGAAGAGCCATCGCCCCCCATCACATCTCAGCCAGGGAGGGTGCAAGCCGGGTGTGGGAAGGAAGTGCACCTCAGGGAGATAGGACACATCCCAAACAGGCTCCAGCCAGTGTGGAAGCCGGGCCACGGGGATGGGTGAGCACAGACCCCCACGCCACCCCCCACCCCCTGGCTGGACCACATGTCACCTACGTGGTGGAGCGTGACTAGGTGCCCCTTTGCTTTAGATGAGCCTTGACCTTCCTGGAAGAAATCATGGCAGATTTCATGATCTTCCAAGGTCTTTCTTGGTACTTTTTCATTCCTGATACTGCCTTACTGAAACCAATGAGCTACCTTCATTGTCACTACCTCAGTGGCAAATGCAGGACCTGCCTCCCTGTCACAAAATCAGAGAATCCAGAGTGTGTCATCCCTGCCTCACCAACTTCTGTGTCCTCCAAGGCTTGGCTTAGGCCCCAAAAGCTGCATCAGGCCTTCTCCTGCCAGGACTTCCTTTATCTGCTCCTTCCACCCCAGGCTTTCCCTACAGAAGCGCACAGAGTTTAAATAGAGTGATTCTTCCTGTCCTCCTGCTCCTGCCCTACATAGCACTTAACCATCTGCAGTGGCAACAGCTTACTCCCCCAGGTCCCCTTCTAGGGCCTTTGCTTCTTGATGTTCTTCACTGAGCATGCTCAGCCTTCTCCAGTGCTCTACCTGCTGCTCCTAGTCCTTGTCCATGGAATGAATGAATGGGCAGGATGAAAGCCCACTTGAAAGCCAAAAAACAAACAAACAAACAAACTAGCATAATAACAGCTACAGTATATTTATTAAGCCCCTAGTACATACATATATATGCATTTTGCACTCCAAATTTTAAAATTGAGAATAAAAAAGCACATGGCATAAATTTACCATCTTAGCCATTTTTAAGTGTTAAATGTATTCACAATGTCATCTCTTTTTCATCTTGCAAAACTGAATACATGGTATGTTTTAGAAGCATTACCTCATTTAAATTTGCTTTGGAAACATTACTTCATTTAAATTTCACAGTACTAGAGGTAGGATAACTATTACTCCCATCTTGAGAAATTAAGCAACTAGCTCAAGATCACATGGCTAATGACTGGTGAAGTTAGATTTGAAATTCATACATCTTAGCAGCTTTATGCTAAGTAAAAATTCCCTAACATTGAAGATTTATAGATTTTTGTAGATTTTTATTTCACCTTCTGCCAGATTATTATCATTTAAAGGGAGTCTTCAAACTTTTTACTGGAAAATAATGTGAAAAAATATCTATGCCATTTTATAAAGTTCATTGTATAGGTCTAAGAAAAACAGATTTACGGTACTTTGGCAGCCATAGATGATTCACAGAATTTTAGCTAAAGGTCCCGAGAGATCATGGAACCCAGCTGTTATGGGCTGTATCTAGACGTCCCTCCAAAGCCTCATGCAGTCATAGGTGGGCTTTTCGGGGTGTGTGATGCTGGGATCAAGGGTGTGTAATTACAAATTAGTCCACTGATTGGTTTGGCATAATTCTGGGTAGGATTAAGGTTGCCCCACCCTAGATGTGCGTGCTACCTGCCCTAATGGCAGGCAGCCTGGATAAGATATAAGGGACAAAAAGAGGGTCACTGCTCGTTGCTTGTAGCTTGCTTCTTCTGCCTGCCATGTACTGTTTCTCCTCTGCAAGCCCCTCTGCCATGTTACTCTGCCCTGAAACCAGCCAACTGTGAACTGAAGCCTCTACAAACTGTAGGCTAAATAAACCTTTCCTCCTTCAACCTTGAGTGTTGGGTATTTTGTCTCAGCAACGAGAAAAGTAAATAAGACACCAGCCCTGTTATTTTGTAGATGCAGAAACTATGTTAAGGGGGCCAGGGATTTAGCTCAGTGGTTCCACCACCTGCCTCAAAAGCACAAGGTCCTGACTTCGATCCCCAGTACCAAAAAATAAAAAAGAAACTATGTTAAGGAAGAAGTGAAGGAGGCATCAAGCTCAGAATGCAGAGCTCTTTCCACTTTGGCTTGAAGATTTATAATTGTTTTTCTTTCTGATTAATATGTACTCTACACCATCTTCAGTAAAAGCAATTTAGCCTCTTTTCATTGAGAGTCTCTGCTTCTGGGACCAGCCAGGGGCGTGCTCTAACCCAGCTCTCCAGCAAGATGCTCACCTCTTTCCTGTCTCCTATCCTGCATTCTACAGCCCCTTACAATAAATATTTATCAACACTAACCTGTTTTCTCTTAAAACAAAATTCAGAGTTAATTATATAAACATATAATTTAAACAATGACAACAAAATAAAAATAAATTTTTGATTAAATTTATACATATTAACAAGTAAATGTTCCAGCTTGACCACCAAAAAGCAGGATACCCATCCTGCACCTGCAGCTCTTCCCGGAACTCCACAATGCTGCAGCTCCAGGTGCGGCCCCACAGAGCACGAATATATTCATTGTTGACTCCATCTTTGCAATCACCGAAAACACCTGCCTGTATTTCCAACGCAGGCCATAGAGTTGATACCGTGCCCCCTCTTATACTTCTGCCCCAGATCCTCACTCCCTCAGAACAACAGCTTCCTTTTGCATACACAGCACCAATGTATGAGTCCTCAACTTGTGACTGGTGACTGGAAGAAGGAAGGGACCAATGACAGGAAGACACCATGCAGCAAAGTAAACCATACCAGAACACTTCTTGAATCAATCAGCTTTCTGTCACTATAATGAAATACCTGTGTCAATTAACTTATAAAGAGAAAAATTTTGACTCACAGTTTTGGAGGTTCTGGTCCATGATGAAGGTCCCAGACTAGAAGGAGGAGCAGGCATTAATTGTATGATCATGTAAAGATATGCAACCAGACATGAGAGGCTGCTTTCCCAATGCTGTGGTGTCCCGAACAAGGGGCTGGCTTGGTCTGGAACTTTTATGATGGGAATCATTTTCACTTTAATGAAAGCTAAGTCTCATTCAAAGGGCACCTGCCATGTCAGCTGCTCTGCCAATCACACCCCATCTGCCTTCTCCAGTCCTGCAAAGCAGGTCATGCCCAGTTTACCTGTGGAAAAATGGAGGCTGGGGGAGGTCGAGAAATCTGTCCAAGGTTGGCAGTGGCCAAGCAGGGATTTGAATGAAGACCTGACAAACTCTGAAGCTCCTAACTTTTCTTCACCCTGCACCTCTTTCTCATAACACCAGGACCTCCATTAGCACTGATGAATGGTCTCCAAAAGCAAAAAGAGAGATTTCTCATTCCATGGACAATGTGATTCCAGCTTCAGCTGGTTCCCTCAGCTGCCCTTGGGCCACTGGTTTGTTGAGCTGCTCCTGCCTAAACCCATCGGGGCACCCCTGGGGCCCTGCCACACACTGGGGACCCTCTCACTGGGACCCTCCCTGGGTTTATCCATCTACCCCTCCACACTGTCTAGATATGCTGCCAGGCTCCTGGCAATGTGCGCTCCGGTTCTTATAATGCCCTGCGCCCCTTCCTCCTCTGGCTAATTCCTGTCTCCCAAGTTCACGTCCGCCTCCTGCACCTTCTATGGCTCCTGTAAGCTCCCTCTCCACAGCATCAGTCCTAGAGGCAGAGAAAGGAAGGTGTCCCCAGTGCGTCTCCCTTGCTGACCCATGACCCCACCTATGCCCAGGCTTCACACATGCGTGGCACTTTTAACACCTGCAAACTGAACTAAATTGACCTTTCCCATCATAGAAGGAGGTGGAAGAAGAAAAAGCCCTTCTGTTTTCATAACATTTTGTAATTTTGACAGCAGCCTTTAGATGTAAGCCAGTTTCATCGATAAACACAAGCACTCTGAAATTCTCAATGATCATCTTCACCATTTCCACTTGAAATGTGAGTGATTTAACCAGTTCCCCTTTCCAAACAATAGGAATATCCTTATTGGAATAAATTTCACTGCTTTTTTTTAAAGGAGAAAATACTGTCTTTGGAATACTGTACTTTTACCTACAATCTTCATTCTCATTTCATTGACTGGTTTTATATATCATTTTCTTACAGCAGTGGGCCTGAAGAAAAATAAAGAATGGCTCAATTATTACATATGATAATTAATCTCTGAAAGTAAACTGTCTTCTGTCCAGCTGATTTACAAAGAATGTGTTAATTGGAAAAAGAAACTGCTTAATAATCTGCCCTCTGAAAAACAAAAGAAATGAAAAGCCAATAATTTTTAGAAGGTGAAAGGCTTCTTTTCAAGATAATACATGGTTTCAGTTTTATTTTCAAAATAATACATGGGATAAATGTACCAATTATTTTGACATTGTAGCAGTAAGCCATTAGAAAAAGGCCTGAAAGAAAGGAATTTCGGTTTCCTCCGGGTCGCCCACTCCTTTTCCACAAAACCTGGCCCCCCAAGTCCCGAGCTCATAGATAAATCAAGATATGCTAACGACTAAGGGAGCACAAAATTACCGTTTTACAGTTCCACAGAAGAGGCACCAGGGGGCACTGCAGGACCACGTTTTGTGATTTAGGCGCCATTTTGGGCAATAATTTCTTGGGGGTGGGGGAGACTGTTAACGTTCTGAGCCCTGGACGTCATTTTATTTATTGCTTCCAATATCTTATCACCACTGAGCTTAACTAGTCAGGCATGGAAGGTTATTTTAAAGGGCAATGCGCTACAAAGAGACATAATTAGACTTCTTCATTTACCTTTCCGTGGAATGTGGGCATGGGTGTGTGCATGGGTGTGTGCGTTTGTGTATGCGCGTGTGCGCGCGCGTGCCCGCGCTTTATTGTTAGCAAACGTTCACAAATGAAGAAAACATTTAGGGAATCCTGAAATGCAGCACCACCCTCAAAATATTAAGGTTTCAGGCAAAACGATTATTTCCATTGTTTTTACCTGTGTAAAAGTGTTTATCTATTAATCCAATCGACAAATATTTGTTGAAGCCCTTTACATGCCAGCTTCTAAGTCAGATCCACCCCCACGGTTTTACCCATGGAGGAAGGCACTTCTCTGTCCCTCTCCTCCCTAGAATCTGAAAGTGAAAACTGATACTACTTTTTAAATCATTTCTTTTCTTCAAAGCTCTCAGAGAGAATACATTTTTCAAAAGAAAATAGTAAACTCGCAGCTTTCCAAATGTGACCGTTTCAAACTGAGCAAGGAGGATTAAAATTCTGACAGGAGCTACATGCTATAGGGACTTTATTTCGTTATCGAATCAAATGGATGATTGTAGGTGTAGAGACATGTTTTCTGTTTGTTTTGTTTTCCTTTCAAAGTCTTGTGTGTATTGGAATGAATACCTTGAAATTTAGCAAGAGCCCAAGGAAAGTGCCACTGCTTTTGCCTATGGAGCATGTTCCCTGGGCAGAAACTAGCACCCAAGGTTGTCAAAATGAGACTCAGAAAGTCTGTTTCCTCCTCCTCTCATCTGGTCCCACTGCTTTCTACAAACAAGTATGTGGTGGCAATAAATATTTTATATCCATTATCTCATTTAACCATCACAGTGACTCCACAAAATATTCTCCCCTCCCCACCAAAAAACTGAAGCTCAAAGAGTTCAATTCTTTGCCCACGGTCACACAACAGTATTCACACCCAAGTTTGTCCATCTTGAAAGACCATATGCCCTCTGCTAGTCAATGCTAGTCCCCCAAAGAACCCAGATTGAAATGAACAGCTGTCAACTGACTGGTTTTGGAGCTCAGTTTAGACAGGTGTTACAGACCCAGCTGTGCACTTGTCTAAACCTGTCCCTTCTAGTGCCTGTGCCAACAACGACTACATTTCCCAGGCTCCCTTGCAGTGAAACTGGGCCAGTAGAATGGGAGCAGAAGTGAGCCTCCCATTTTCCGGTCTGCTCATCTCCTGCACCACCCTTCACACTCACTCTTTACTTGCCTCAGCCAGAAGTACAGATCCAGCAGCAAACTCTGAGGCCCTCAGGGACAGTGGAGCCATGGAACTAAAGATACTTGGATCTCTGAGTCCTCCATGGAAAGTGCCCACCAAACACTGACGCTTCCATGAGGCAAGATGCACCTTCCACTGTTAAGTCTCTGTGACTTGGGATTGTCTATAAAATAGTTAGCCTTCAATAAATGAAGCACAAGGAAAGATCATAGTTTTCATGAAGGTTTTTGTTTGCCCATCCAAGGGCTCCAGGTCCTTGCCTAGCTCTGTGACAGTGAATTTGTCACAATCCTCCTGGGCATCAGGACAAGAAAAGAGTGTTGAGCCAGTGATCTCTAAGGACTTCCCCTGATCTGGGGGCATCATGTAATCCTGTGGCGTGCCCCCTATCTATTGAACCCTTGCCCCTCCATCTTTATAAATAGGGGCAAAGTGGCCTGAACCAGGAGGGACTTAGCCCACCTTTCCTCCGTTCTACTGGGAAGCTATAAGCAGACACGCTCTCAACCGTAGCAGTAATGTGCGCGTGCATGTTGGATGGATGGGTGGGCTTTGTGGGACTCTACCCTGGCTTGTCATACCCTCCCTGCCCGACTCCTGCCCACTCAGTGGTCAGTGTAGGAATATAATACACATCTTGCACCACGAGGAAATACACGGTGGGTATCAAAAGTATAAAGAGAAGGAATTGGGCTCTTTGAAAGCGCTGATTCCTCAAAATGTTACTTTGCTAGCTATAAAACTGTGTAAGCTATTTTAAGTATACCTCCTTTGGTTACATAATATTATTTTCTGTTGCTGAATATGTTTAAAATGAAGAGAATGTTAATACAGAGAAAAGCAGAAATAAGAATTTTAGTGACACAGACTTCTGGACAAATCTGGAAATGAGTGTGCAATTGGCAGTGTTTTTTGGTTCCAGCCAGGCCCACTACATGGAACTCGCCCTCTTCTGGCCTTTGACGGCACTTCCAGAAAAAGGACGAAAATACTGAGCGCTCACAAATGACTCTTGTCATTGCCTCCACAGCTTTGCCTGACTTAAATTCTGAAAGCAAGGTCCTCAGCACTTCTCTGCCTTGGTACTTAGATACTGGGGGATACTTCTGAAAACCAGTAAGGGCTTCTGCCTTCATTTTTGAGAATTGTGGCAAGTTGCACATACAGCTATAAAACCCAGGATTCAATTGCATATGGTGGCAGCATTTAACTCTCTCGATGCATCCCAAAAAAGAGAGATAGCTGTTGTGAGACTAGGGACGTAGTGTATTTTCTTGATATTAAATTTGATTAACTATTAGAGTGGACATTTGTTGAGGCTGGCCACTATTTACCCTCCTTTCCTTCTTCTGTAACAGATTCCACCCTTTCTGATCTCAGGAGGATAGGTTGGGGTTGGGTGGGGTGAGTCCCCGACCCAGCCTTGGCTATTCAGAATCTCTCCTCCTTCATCAGCATCATTGGCCAATGATTTTACATGCCTGGAGTTTTCTGCTGAACTTTGCCCCCTCTTTAAGATGTATTTCCATCATCTTTGGACTAAAGAATCCTAAACACTAAAGCTATTGACAGGACCCAGCATGTATATTGTTCTAATGTACTGGCACCTGGTTCGACTTACATTATAAATGACTATCATTTCCAAGGGCAAAATCTAAGGTTAATGATGAAACAAATTAATGCATAGTTAAAATATTAAAGTGTTCTACCACTACTACAAGATGAAATAAGGTTAATTAAAGTAATTTTCAAAATATTAACAGGACTATAGTTCCAGCAAGTGTGAGAACATTGTCAGCACATTTGTATCATTAAAGGGTTTTAAACAATTTATTGAGCCATAGAGAGAGCACTTATATTTGTGAAGGTCAAAAAAGGGGTAAACTATTTAGCTTTATTCTCATAAGCTTGTTTTGTTTTCTACATACTGTGGCATTATTATGTGTAAGATTTAAACTGCTGTAAGTATTATTTGTAGATTGCTATTTATGAAAGAGGTTATCTTGCTTATAGGAAAAATAATTGATTATGTTTAACCATTCACAAATGGACAGTTATTTGTAGGTACTTAAACATGCAGATCTATCAGAGCACGGTAATTTGTCATTTTTAGTGCTTATTCAACTGCCTATAAGAGCTCAGTTGTGTACCAAATGACCATGTTTCTATGGTGCTGCTACTTTGATTGATAATGAGAAGATATAGGTACCATTTTTAATTTTTTAAATGTAAGATTATTGTGGAGTAAATTAACCTAATCTCACAGCACAAGTAAATTAATATCAGTTCATTACCTAATTGCAAAAATAATATTAACCCAAAGAATCTAAATCTACTTCTGACACATATTCAATTTTTATAATGTTGCATTGACAGTTGTTCTGGGTTATATGTGTCGGTTTCTCTTTTAATTGGAAATGTTGGGAGTGAGAACACAAATATTCCAGCAGTGGTGTAGAGGTTGCTTTTAGAATTGATCAAGTATTACAATCCAGACACCACTGAAATACCATTGGGTATTTTGCATGGCAAGCTTGCTGTAAAGTCATTCAGTGAGAATTTCTCAATGCCTCCGCTCCCTTGGCATAAGTGGATTTTTTCCAAAGCAGCCCCACAGCTCTCAGTTGGAGAAGTCAAGTTTTCCAGGCGTCTTTCTCCAGTCTGCCCTGGATGTCAAACAGAACTGGCACTGTCTTGGGTGGCAGCACCCTGTGGGCTGGTGCCTACTTTGTCCCAAGATGGGGGTAGACATATTTCCCTCGGGCTGGAGGAGAAGCCCTGAGTTCCCAAAGTATCTCTCTGACCTTAAAGCTTTCCAAGTTGGGAAATGTATGTTGCAACCTTGAAAAAGGCAAAGTAAATACAGAGCACACCAGCTATGTGTTTTCCTGTTGATGAATTCTCCAAATCCAGACTGGAAGGCCTCCAAGGACTGCAGTCTCCTCCAAAAGCCAAGTGTTAACCCTGTATTCTCTGCCTGCTTTTGCTACCACATCTTTCTCTTCCACCTACAAAATTCCAACATCTCTCTGGGCTTTGCTTGCTCTGTGGTGACTTTGCTCCTCTTTATAGCACAGAACAAACCAGGGCCACAAACAGCGGAGGAGGAGACCACTACAAGGTATGGGGAACTTTCAAGAGCTGCTTGCAATGAGACTAGCTAGAGCCTTCCCCTGCCAGCCAGTGAAACTGGCTTAGATCTTGAAGTGATTTAACTATTTAGAGTCAGTCTTTTCCAGCTCTAAGTATTTGCCACACGCTCTATTGCAGTTGTGGTTTCCATCTTCAAATCATAAATCCTCATCTTCCTCTTGGAAATGTAACACAGTCACATATACTTATTCACTTTAGTGTTTCCTGAATGTAAACTTTACAGATTACAGGCCAGCTAGGTAAAACATGACCATTTAAAATCCCTAATTGCTCCTTATTTTTAGTGTTTACTCTTACTGACCGATTTTACCATTTTAAAAATTGAAAATATAATCTTGATTCTGATTATAAAATTACTACTTCCTCTTTATAGGAAATGTGAGAAATGCGTATAAAATTTTAAAAGATTTGCTTGTAATCTCTTTACTCACAATTAAGCATTATTAACCTTTGGTGTATTTCCTTTTTTCTCTGTTAATTATATTCTCTGGATGCAGATTCTTTTTCATTCTATGTTATATTACAAATGTTTGCTCAATATTTACTTATCATTAATAAAAAATCCTCAGAACAGATTTTTTTAAATGACTTTGATAATATTCCATCATTGGACTATACCATTGTTCATAACTGATCTCCCATTGTTGGATATTA